CCTTGGTAATGTGGTTTGGGGGGTAATCAGGGGAAAGCTCCCTGGAGGAGGTGATAAGTGAACAGAATCCTGAAGGAAAGTAGAAATAAAGGTGCTAAATATGTGGGAAAGGGAGAAAGCTATGCTAGGCAAAGGGAATAGAAGTACTGGAGCCTAAAGGGAGGGGGGGCAGCGTGGATGGGGTGCAGTTGGGAAGGAGACAAGGGGACCTAGAGAAGGACCGGCTGGTGGAGTTCATAAGCTTGCCCAGAGATGTCCCCTTGAGCCAGAGGTATTGTGTAATCACTAAACATTCCTGGCTCTCTTGTCTGTATCAGCAAGGTCACTTGTCACCAGCTGGAGCCATTATTCACTGAAGAGCACTGTGGGTATTCGCCCTCTGCTTTTATACATACCCCTTCCCAGTCTACAAGCAGCTCCACCTGCCCAGACTCACAAAGCCATTACAGAGGTGGGGCCAGAACTCCCCAAGTTCAAGTCAGAGCTGCACCTCTCTTCCCCAGTCAGCCTGTCAAACCCAGTGGTTGGTTAACACAATTCTGGGGAAAACTAAAAGTAAGAGGACTTCTATTAAGAATGGCTTTGGAAGGAACTGGGGTACCATCCTGGACTCCAGACTGAAGGAGTGGAAGTGTGGAATCAAAAGCTGCTCTGATGAACATTTCTCCCCCATTGCTCCTCCAGGTTAGCTCAGTTTTAGAACACATTTGTGGTTCTCAGAATGGCACATCCCCTTGGGCTTATCAGAATTTTCTACAAGGCTCTTTCACACTTTGCATAGGCTATTACTAAGATTCTGTGCCCTCATCGCCCCAAGGCTTTTCCTCTCCACACGCTCATATGCTTCCCTTCCTGAAAGGAAACCAGCCTCTGTGACCAATAGGCACGCCAGGTGGGGACTGCGGAGAACCACCATCTTGACCTCAAATGGGCACAACTAGCACCCACTTCAGGCTGCTGTGAGGACGCAATAACACTAAGGCTTGAGAAGGCCTTGAGGAGGCAGCCATGCCAGATACCAGGCACATGTATGGATGTTTGCTATTTTAAGGACAAGATCAGATTCAACCACTTAAAACATTTTTTAAACATTTGTGTGTTACATAACGATACCAGTATATAACTATATTCAAAGGCCTCACTTCCTTACCCAAATCTTCATCAATTCAATCATACAATCCCACATTGGCCATTAAAGAAGAAACAATTAGTCAATGACCTATTCACTGAATATCTGCAGATTACTTCATCCCATCCTCAAACGGATGAAGTACACAATCCTTGACCCCAGTGATGAGCAGTGACCGTGACAATGGGTTTGTGCCTTAGACTGTGCTGTAAAGTAGAAATATTGCTGTAAAATACAATTTTCAAGTGAAGGATTTATGTCTTGAGCCCTATTTCATGATCTGTGACATAATTCCTTTACCAGCGGATTAGGTGTCTAGAGGCAGCAAACATTTTCAATCCCGCAGCAAACAAAATGAAGTTTCACACATTCCAGTTGTTTTAGATGCTATTGACCAAATTCTGGCTAATACATTGTGATATACAGCCTAGAACTGCAAAGGGGAAAAGATTCTTGAGGTCGCCTGATCCTGAGTTCTTGTGCCTTCCTTCATGTAAGATTAAGCCACAGACTCCATCAGCAGCATACTTAGAGCACACTCACATTCTCAGGACAGTGAAAGGCTTGACACCTCCTTGACCCCAGACTGTGGCTCATTCTAGACAGCCTGAACAAATTCCCCAGTTCAGCGTCTTAGAGTCACACACTGTTGCTCCTGGACACAACCTGGGGAGTCAGTCAGTTCTGTGCTTTTCAAATTATACTCCTTTGATACTTATGAGAATCACCCCAGGGCAGTTTAGATATGGAACCAAAAGAATTGAATGGATCAGAAATGCCACTGACATTTGTTTTATATACTGGCTTCAATGTTAAAAACAATTTCTGCTGCTAAAAATAGATTAAAACTCCTGCACTAGTTCTGCCTCTCTTCATTAAAGAAAATAAAATGAAGCCTAAGAGAGAAGAGTTGAAAGTAAGACCCAGGTCTCCTGGCTCCTTTCTCTACCATCCTGGCCATCCCCTTTATAGTCCCCACATCCAAGCTATGAGATTTGATATGCTGCTCTAACCCCAGGATTGAATAATCAAATGACTTACCAATGTACTGACTACCTCTTGACTCCCAGGCATTTGCTGAAGGCATAATCAGGTGGGATGTTCAGTTCAGTTGCATGAGTCAGACAAACTGAAATAACAGTTGCCTAAACAAAATTTTATTTCTCTATCACATAGGCAGCCCAGGGTTGGTATAGAAACTACATAAAACTTCTAGGAATCTAAGCTCCTTCTAATCTATCACTCTGTCATCCCAAGGGTATGATGTTTGTCCTCATGTTTCAAAATGGCAACTAGAGCTCCAGCCACCACATTCACATTCCAGAAAACAGAACAGTGGAAGGGCAACATATAAAAGGAATAAATGGAGATATCAGTTGTTTTTAAAGGAGGTATATTAGGGTTTCCAGGGAGAGAGAACCAACTGGGTAGGTGGATGGGTGGATAGATACATACTTACATACATACATACACAGGGATTTATTACGAGGAATAGGCTCATGAAATCATGGAGACTGAGAAGTCCCATATCTGCCATCTGTAAGCTGGAGGCCAAGGAAAGCCAGTGATGTAATTCCAGTCTAAGTTTAAAGCCCTGAGAATCAGAGGAGCCAATCGTGTTAAGTCCCAGTCTGAATCTGATAGCCAGAAAACCAACACCACCAGTGTCTGAGTACAAGACAGGTGACAGTCCCAGCTCAAGCAGAGAGCAAATTCACCCTTCCTCTGTCTTTTTTGTTCTGTTCAGGCCCTCAACATACAGAATGATGACCACTCACACTGGTGGGGGATCTCTGTCACTCAGTCTATTGATTCAAATGCTAATCTCTTGCAGAAATGCCCTCACAGACACTTTCAGAAATAATGTTTTACAACTACCTGGTATCTCTTAACCCAGGTGACACATAAAATTAACCATCACAGGAAGTTTCCTGAAAGTTGCCACATATTAAAGAGTTCCATCCACATGTAAGATTTTGATTTGTATCTTTTCAAACAGAAGCAACTGAGGCATAAAAAAAAAAAGGCTATATTTTCCAACCTTTTATTCTAGACAGCCTTCATCACAGCTGAAAGTAGGAGCTTCTATGGCAAAGAAAGAGGACGGAACTGATCTTGGGTAGGCAACTGGTAGTCTGTACCACTCAAGGATTACTTCATTAATCCTCCTAACAGCCCTATAAAGTAACCTCTATTATTATTTCCATTTTACAAATGAGGAAACTGAGGCTTAATTCTTGACAACATCTCATTCTCAAAACCCCCAGCCATCACCTGACCGAAACTCTGATGTGACCCTGACCCAGAACTGCCCAGCCAAGCTGCTCCTTAATTCCTGACCCTCAGAAACTGAGACATAGCAAATGTCTATTTTTGTTTTAAACCACTTAGTTTGGGGGTAATTTGTTACATGATCAATCACTCTATAGATTATGGTATCTGTCTTCCAAGAAGATTGCATTTTAACTGGGGCGTTTTGAGATGCTGTGCATGTAGCAGAAAAAAGCCCTGGGCTGGAACTCAGAAGGCTGGAACCTGGGCCTGCTTCAACTTTAATAGCTATGTCACACTGAAAGGGGTCCTCTGGGGCACTGGGCCTCGAGTTCTCATTTTAAGCATTTTTTAAAGGGAAGGGGCCAAGTGTTGGACTAGATGGCCCCTCAGATCCCACCCAGCTTTAATGTTCCAGTGGTTGGAAGATGGATACTGTGGAGGTGAGCATGGCACCCCAGTTCAGGCCAGCAGCTGCTTTCTCCACAGCTCTTGGGGCTGCAGCCTGTGGCCACTGGAGGAAGAAAAGGCCCCCACCCCCTCCTCAAGTGGACTCAGATCTCTACCTCGTGTGTCCAGCCTGCTGGGCCCCACTGCCCCCCACCTTGGACCACAGCTTTAACTGAACGCATGGAAGCTGTGGAACCTGCCAGCCCCTGTAGGTAGAAATCTAGGAAGAGGGTTATATGGGCCACAATTCAAACTCCCTGGAAAAGACTTTAGACTTAACTCATAACCAGCAATGGAAAGGGGAGGCTGAAATTGTTCAGGCCTCCTGGCCAGAGAAATCTCTCTAACCAGTGGTTGTCAACCACGGGCAGTGTTGTCCTCTGGCGGACATTTGCCAATGTTTGGAGACATTCTGGGTTGTGATAAGGGGGGGTCGCTGTTGTCATCTCTGTGGGTGGAGGCCAGCGATGCTGCTAAACGAACATCCTACCGTTTACAGGATAACCACCACAACAGAGAACTATCCAGTATCAATAACTATCAGAGAGTATCAATAGTCCCAAGGCTGGGAGACCGGCTCCACATGCAGGTACTCCAGAGGGAAGAACAGCGGCTCAGAAAATAAGAAGCTCCCCCCAGGATGTCACAGGCCAAGAGTGCTGTTACTTGAGGGTGAGAAATGTGCAAGCAGATAAGGTTGGCCACCCTGCTGAGCCCTCTCTCTCCCAGCGAGGACCTCTGCCTCTGCTCTGTGCGGGCGCTTGCACCGGGTCTGGGCAGCTGCTGGCGGAGCTTCTGAGTCAGAAATCCAGACGCTCAGGAGGGAACCAAACTGAAACTCCGGAGCAGAACCGCCCACAAGCAGAGCCTGGGTTTGTGAAACCTGAAACATTATACACTTTTGGGGTGTCTCTTTAAAGAAAATAGGAGCAAGGCCTTGTGGACGGGGCCAGTGAGGCGCCCTGCAGCATGAATGCCGACCACTTTGTGGTAAACCTCCTCTCCGGAAGCCGGGGTTTAAGCTCCCCGCAGGGCGCGGCCCTGGCCCTCGGGGCGGGGGCGGAGTGCTGCAGCCAGCAGTCAGCCACGGCCGCTCGGCCGCTAACACCCCAACGGCGCGCCGCAGCACGTCCGGACAACTCTCTCCTACCTGCGCTGGAGCCAAGTTTCCTGGCCGCCGGGGCACCGGCTGCGCCTCGCCGTCCGGCCAGGCTGCGCTCTGCGCTGGGCGGCACTGCCCCCTGGTGGCGGCCCTGGAACGCTCGCCTGCTCCTCCGGGCCCCGTGGCTGCAGATTCGCCAGAGACCGCGCTCAGCAGGCTCCCACCCCCACCGCCAGCTTAGCCCAAGAGCATCCCGTCCCCACGGGCAGGAAGCGTCTCTCCAGCGTGGCCAAGCACAATCACAATGGGTCTCGTAGAGTCAAGCCCCCCTTTCTGATATTTTCAACTCCTGGGCACGACTCCTGCTAACTTCACACACACACACACACACACACACNCTGCTAACCTAACACACACACACACACACACACACACAACTCCTGCTAACCTAACACACACACACACACACACGACTCCTGCTAACCTAACACACACACACACACACACACTCCACACACACAGACCAAACCAGGTGCAACTGACAAAGGCGCCATCCCGCCCCCTGAGATCTCTTACCTGGCATTATCTGCCTCAACCCTTCAGCTCTCAGTTTGGACACCACCTTCCAACCCAGGAAGACTTCCTTGACCAGCAAGGTATTCCTACCATACCTTGAACTTCTTGTTCTAGAATTTGATTGACTGAGAATGAATGTAAACATCAGCCCATCAATTAATCTCATAGACACTGATTGCCAGATCAGCCCTGGGCTTGCCTCCCTCCGTACAAAGATGAGGTGATGGGGTAGCATGTGGCAGGCTCACTGCCCCCTGCCAGACACCCCAAATGTCCAGGACAGAGGACTTTTCTGCCAAGTGAACTCCCAGGCAAGCTCCCTAAGACCCATTCTTTCTTACCTCAGCACACAAGCTTCCCCTCCTTAATGCTACTACAACTCACTTTCTCAAGGTATTTTTCCACAGCTGGTTGAAGGGTGGGACGCACACTTCCCAGTTCAGATCAGGGAGCATGACAGGTATTACAGGAAAGTCCAACATGCACCATGGAAGAGAAAGAGGAAGCCCTGGGTGTGCGGGTTTGTATGTATATAAGTAGGTGTGTACATGTATGTACAGTGAGGGTCTGGCTGCTCTGAGACTTTAGATTCTGGTGCCTTTGGCTAAATATGTGGGGAGGGGATCCCATGTTCTTGTCAATTGCAGGAAGAAGCTTGTGGGATAGTTTAGTAGGCTGAATATTGTCCCCCCAAATTCACATCCCCCTGGAACCTTAGAATGTGACCTTATATGGAAATAGGGTCTTTGCAGATGTAGTTAGTTAAAAGAGGTCATACCAGATGACAGTGGGCTCTAATCCCGAGACTGCTGCCCTTATGAGAGAAAGGAGATGGAGAGTCAGACACAGAGCCCGGGCAAGAAACCACCTATCGATGGAGGCCGACATTAACTGCATCTACATGCCCACTGGAAGCCAGGAGAGAGTCATGAACCATTCTCTTCCTCAGTGCCTCAGGAGAAACCAGCTCTGCTGACACCTTGATTTCAGAATTCTGGCCTGCTGGACTGTGAGAATACACTGCTGTTTTAAGCCACCGAGTTGATGCTAATTCATAACCACAGCCACAGGAAACTCTGGCCCCATCTGGAAGAGGTGAGCGCGTACAGTGACTCTGGGAGCAGGAACTGTGACATCGGACATCCTCCCTCTATCATTCACCAGCTTCATGCCCGTAAGGAAGTCACTCCACCTGTTTTCCACACCAAATATTGGTTTGCAATGCCTTGTGATAAGGTACCTGTAATAATATAAACCTGGCCCACACAGATGGTGCCGCGTACATATATATCACATCCCTCCCACCCTTAACTCTTCCCACTCAGCACAGGGGACACAGTCCCTCTGTTGCTGGCAGAACAAAGACAAGAAGCAGCCTAGGTTTGAGGGTAAGGGAAGAGTTTAGCCGCTTCCAGCTCAGTGGTCTTGGGATAGATATTCAGCTCCACGGAGCCTTAGGACTTCATCCGGAATATGAAGATACTAAAACCTCCCTTGTGTGGTTTGTTACAGCCACATTAAGGAAACAGTAATACTTCTAGGCAGTATACCCGAGTTCTTGCACTGGGCTGAGATTATATCTTATTACACAAGGCTCATGGGCATCAGTTAAAGCTTAGAATTCTCCAACTCCAGCTCCTCCCTACCCCGACCTCCCCACTCTTTCCTGCCTGCCTCCCACTACTGACTCTTCTGTTACACAGGGATTTCAGCAGAATTAGCAGCCTTTCTCCCGCTCCACACACTCGCTGCCACATTCATCATGGACCCCTCTGCAAATAGCCCATCACTAGGACAAGGCAGACATTTGCTTAGCATTGGTTCGAACTGGATTCAGTCTTAAAGATTTGTTGGGTTGTACTGGCATTTGATTTGTGTCAACAGAGCTATTCCAAAAGGTTATTTCACTCCAGTGGGTTTAAAAAACTTCCTCTCAAGTTGGTTTTACATGCAGGAAAATATCTGCTTTATGGTACTTGGCAGATTTTTTAAATTCTAAGATCAAACACCTAGGGAATGAAGAATGAATTGCGTGGGAAAGTGAAGAGTGGAAAAGAAATGCAAAGAGATTCTTGAGGAAAAAAATCCAGGGAAACATACTGGGACCCAGAAAGAGGCTGCGTAACTTGTAGGAGATTGAGTTCTGGGATATCAGCAACTGAGAAGGGCTTCCAGTGTGCCCTGGGAGCAGTACCAGAAGAGGCCACAAGATGGAGATATTACTCCAAGAGTCCTTCCCGGTCCCTCCCATCCGGAGGTTACGCCAGTCTGTTCGCCGGCATCCCTCTCGAGCGATTGTCAACAGTGCCACCGTCCATTTTCTGTCTCTTCTGCTCCTGGCCTTCTGTTCCACCACTTTCCCAGCCCCAACACAAAATAAACTCTACTGACTTTATTGCTACTTGTTACATTTTCTACATAGTGTTGTTCTCTGTTCTCAATTGTAAAAGCTGCAGAATCAAATGTTTTAATGAGAAATATAAAACCAACCAATAAAAACCCATGTGATGTCGATCCTTCCCTTTTTGTGAATACATACCAAGAGAGACGCCTTCCTGGGAGCCTGGCATCACCAGGCCTGGAGACGGCCAGAGACAGAAGCACCTGCTTGATACAAAGATAACACCTTAAGCTGGGAGACGTGGCTGCCAGGGGCCTCAGATGGGCAGGAAGGAAGCTGAGCCCCATCCCAGAGAGAATGGAGGACAGACACCCAAATACTCAAATATTCCATTCAAGATATAAGATAAACCAGTGACTCTAAAAATCATCTATTTACAACTCTATTTGGGGGGGAAAAAAAGAAGAGAAGGAAATATACCAAAATATTATGTTTTTATTATTTATTATGGAAAAATTCAACAGTACAGAAATAGACTAGTAGACAGATCCAGATACCACCTTAAGGAGCATGTGAAACTAATAACCGGGAGAGAGGCTTGAGGAAGACGTGAAGTTCCCAGTTCGTTCAGAACACTCAAAATTAAGTGCCTAGCATCTTGGGCCTGCCCCCCACCACCACCACCACTCCCCAGCCCCTGGTGATGTCAGGGGGCTGGAGGCTGGGGTGCTGGTCTTTGAGGGCAGGGGACAAAACGGAGCTGAGCTGTAGCCATACCAACTTCAGCACCAGAAAATATTTGAATCCTGGCTTAGCATCCTGTCACACAGGAGTTCTTTACCTGGGTGGCTTCTAGGGACATCTGAATGCCCAGAAAATTATATGATGGAGAAGACCCACTGCTTCTGTCAGATTGTCACAGGCTCTATGGCAGCCTCTTGTCTCATCACCCTGGCCAGAGGGGAAAAAAAAATCTTAAAAACCATTGTAATGATACTGACAATGCTGATCCAGTGTTCGCTGAGTGATATATTCTTACTACAGTTACTCTTTTATTACTATTGTTTTAAATAATTCTCTTTTAAATATGATGCCCTATGAATCATTTAGTAAAAATTCTGTCACAGGAAATTAGATAAATAGGTAGATACAGAAGTTTCCTGCTAAAGTCATTTACTATTTTGACATGTTACGTGATCTTCCTTCATAAAGGAAGGATAAAATCCAGTATAGATGAGTTGCTTTCTGTATTTGGGCTTTTATATCCATATGATATAACTTAATAAAAATAAACTGCTTCTAGATACTTGATACTTGAAATATTTAGGTTGTTCCCAGCTGAGAAAAAAACAACAATTATGCAAATTTTAAGCATGTTTAATAGCAGGATACCTAAAATTCATTAACAAATCAGGGAAATGTGCTTTGCTGTACAATCCATTAAATGCATTTTCCGCTAAAATTTCAGAAATCACTTTGGCAATAAACACAAACATATAAATACTCATTCACAGAAAATGCTACAATGACTTTAATATCAAACATAGCTGTCATAGTTTACAAAAAGAGCATAAAGTGCAAAAGCTCCATTTCAAAAGGCCTTAAATCACTCCCAAGGTAATGGAGATTAAATTCTACTACAGCCGGTGTGCAGACCACCCTATATGGCACACCTTATATAAAGTATAAGACAAGGTATATATCTGAAAATACTATACCTGCTCTGATCACATATTGTGCTTATAAAATAGTCTTAAATCTGGTTTAACATATAAGAAAAGATGCCATTCAAAAATTAGTTCCTTAAGAGTAGGGACCACTTTTTTTTTTAAGTCAGTAGAATGTCTATCGAATCCTTTGAGAATCCCAGCCTTGCCTGAGACTTCACTTTGGCCAACTGGAATAGCAGCACCAAGCATAGAGCTGGCTGTGGAAGGTCCACGTTCATTTGGGGAAAAAGAGCTGTGAGGGGGAACTTCAGCCGGGCATCTTCAGCCCCCACCTGTCCCCCAGAGCTGGTTCCACATCAGCCCCAAAGGATAAAGACCCAGAGAAGGCTCCAGTCCCAGTCCTGTAGCCTCCAATATAGCACTGGCTCGTGCAAGCATGATGAACTGATAAATTTTAACACACCTTAAACAGAATAATCCAGATTAACAGAGTAATCCAATAAACAATAGGTTATGGTTTCTTTACAAAGTATGCACTTGATAACTATCAAGCTTAGTCCCCCAACAGAACATCTTTGATCCATAATTAATATTTAGGTACTTGTCAGGACAGGCAAAGAGTTCACCCAAAATGTAGCTGTTACCAGATTTAGATATCTCCCCTCCATACATCTTACATGTGTTCACTGAATTGCTTATTATATAATCATAAAGAGGAAGATTTTTTTCTAAAAATCAACAAATACTATAAAACAAGAATAATTGACTTAAATGGCCACTTAGTAAGTAGTATATTGTCTTTTAATATCCTAAATCCAGTTCCTGCTGGTTATTGATCACGGGCAGATTCTAGAACAAAACCAGAACAAAAATCTGATAGGTCCTCACAGTTATTCAGCATGGCTAACTCCTAAATATCAAACCTCTACTTGCCTGCATTATCAGGAGGGGAGAAAGAATTCTTGATTGCACATCAATTAATAAGCTATTTACTTTAGAAAAATCTGAAAACATCAAAACCAGTAAAGCCATGTATTTCACAGCAATTTTCTATGACTCATCACTCCAAATGCAGAAGCATATCAAACAGCAGAATTTAGTTCAGTATTTCTTAGGACACATTCATGTCAGGTTCAGTTACAAATGAAGACTCATCAGCGAGTCTCAGAATCCAGTGATGAGCCACTCTAAGTATATCTCTAACTCCACACTATTCAGAAAGCCACTCCTCATGAAAAATACACAACTGGCATTTATATTCCATTCAAGATACAGGATAAACCAGTGACTCTAAAAATCATCTATTTACAACTCTATTCAGGGGGAAAAAATGAAGAAGAGAAGAAAATATACCAAAATATTGAGCAACAGAAATACAGATCACTTTTTTCCTTCTTCCTCAACTTTTCTGTTGTTTCCCAATTTTCTTTTGAAAGAGTATGAAGTGCTATAAAAACACTGCAAATGTAAATATAAATGTAAATATGAATGATGCCATAAAGCTAACTTAAAATAAGTTTAACTCCTGGGATAATCCTACTTCCCTGATTTACCATCCCGTGCGGGCAAGCTACAGTGACTCCTGTTCAAAGGGAGAAGTATGTTTTGTGCTCCTCAAACATATTCCATTCCACACTTCTTTCTGAGCCCTCATCTTATTACCAATCTCTAGAATGGTATTTTCTTTTTTCATATCAAAAACATTCCTTCTGACATTTTAACTTAGTCATTTGTAGAAGAGGGATGGAAATAGCCACATGAGTCAGGGCACTTACTTCCTACTACCAGCAGGGTTGCATTCGATCCCTATTTCCAAAGAATATCAGAAACTCCCAGCAAGGCAGGGTCCAAGCCTGGGGGGCTATAGATGGTGGTCTCCAGGGAGCCACCCGTTTACCTGATGGGGAGAAATGGTTCCTCCTTCACTGTTGAACAATGCTGCCATCACTGAGGAACCCTCAGAACAGCAGTTAAACCTCCAAAAACCACACACAAAACATTTCTACTGCCAATTTGTTCATTTGCGTTTTCACAGCCTGATACATTAAGGAAATGCTTTAAGATTAACCTTAAAATAAATTTAAGCGAATAAAATACATGTTTCACACACTGGGGTTCCATAATGATTTCTTACTGCAAGCAAGGTTCTGCTGCTAAAATTATTTGAAAACCACATTAAGTAGAATAAAGTCATTCATTTTTAAACTCCAAATTTAGTTCTTTATTGAACTTCGCACCTTAGATCCTTTTTAAATTCTAACTAGAGAAAGAGTTCCTGGACTTGCCAAAAACCGCTAATGCCCAACTGTTAGCTGCTTAGTGACAGGATTCCTGTCCACGCAGGACATACCTGTCCTGTCCTCTTCCACAGTGGAATGTTGCAAAGTAGGAAATGCCTGAGTTAAAACGAGGGTCCCTGATGTCACCCACTCTGCCTCACACCTTGAACACAGTTGTGGAGTCTTCCACTCAGCCCAGTGAAGAGATTACTTGTAGCCAGCATCATTTCAGGTGAGAGAAACTCAGATGGCAACAGCTTTGCCCCACGGCACCAGTGACCCCAAGAGCCAGTGTGTAGTTGTTCCAGCACTCGAGAAGAGCGAGCTGTCAAATGCTCGGAAAACCACAGGAAGCCCCTCATACTACAAGAGTATGGAGTGCAATTCCCACAGTCAATATTAGAGAAAGAAGAGGTGAGATTCTTGAGGATAATTTCCAAAATGGGAGAGCATACAGGAGGATCCCAATGAGAACACGTTTCCAAAACTTCACATTTGCTCCAAATTTTGAACCAGGACCCCCATCACGATTGTCACAAGAGCTCTGGCAATGTCACAGACATCCAGCAGTAAGGGTTAAGTAGGTCTGTGTATGGAATACTCACACCATAGCTATTCTTCCCTGTGTTTGAGGTTACCTGGCTGGGCAGGGGCTAAACATTTTAAAAATCATGCTCATTTGTAAGACTGGTTTGAAGTAGGGTGTATTTTTGGCAACAGTTTTTGTTATTAGTTTCATCCACATCTGAAGTCAAGTCTTCAACTCCCAGCAGAGGTAGTAATAAAAGAATTCACAAATGCATGTAAAACCTGGGTTACTGAGAATTGCAAGTGGAAAACTAGCCTCCTTAGCCACAAGCCCTGTACATGTTCCACTGGTGTGGTTTGGTTTCAGTTTCCCCCATTGGAAAAATCTCTGGCACCTTCCATGAGTCAGAAGGGCTTGTCTGTCACAGGGTCTGACTGTCACCAGGAGAGTCTTCTCTGAGAGCATGTGGGAATGGTGGGGTCTGAGGCAGGCAAACGTTCTTCAGGAAGCAAGGCATCGTGCAGCACGGGGTCCTCAGGGCACAGCTCTGTCAGGACCACACCAGCCAGAGCCACCTGATCAGGAAGTGGCTCTGAGAAGACAACTCCGCTCCCCTCAGCCCCACAACTTTCCATCTTTGGGAAAGGAGAAGGCATTTCTCCCCACACAGAGTCCTGGCAGTCCGCAGACACACTAGTTAGAGCTCAAGGGGACAGAATTCTTTAAAGACAGACCCTTCCCCGCCTCAGCAAACTGGCCTGGCTGTCTTTGCTGGCCCATGAAGCCCGGCAAGTGAGGGTTAGCAAGCAAAGAAGTCAGCCACCGCCTTGCCATCATGTGATCTTGACCGCTGATTTCTTGCTGGCACACAGGAGGGACACGTAGGGGACACCAATGAAGGCCCATTTCTCGCTGGGCCAGAATTTGATGACGGGACCCTGCTCTGGGATCTCAGAGGCAGCATCAAAGTATGCAAAGCACACGCAGCCCAGGTAGGCGGCAAGGCAGATGAGGATGTGCCTGTGAAGAGGACAAGAGGCAACAGCCTGAGACAGGCGGGCCTGCGGGGTGCCTGCCCTCCCTCCGTGCCAACCCAGCTCTCCGGCTGTAAGGATAGTCTAACTCTTCCAGTTAGTTAGGGCTGAAGGGGGCCTGACAACCCCTGGGATGCAAGAGAACTATAAATCAGGAGCAAACAGGGCCTATTTTAGGAAATTATGAACTATTACAGTTTGATAATAGGAACAAACATGCAAACGCCTTTGGAACTCAACCAAGAGACTGAGGTCCAAGGACTTAAAACGGAGGCACCACCTTGCCACTACAGCACACCTGATCAGAGCCTTCCTTCTCGCTTTAACAAGTGGGTGTAGGAAGTTTATGCCCTTCCTTGGGAATACTTTCATGCTAATTAAACTGCTTTTGCAGTTCCGTAGGGGAAGTCTTTTTTATTTTAATTTCTTCACTAGGCCTGTAAAGGCATCAAGTAAGGGACCATTTAAAGGCATGTAATCCTTCTTTATACCCTATACTGAAACCTGACTCCTGATGAACTAAAGACTGAAAAAATATTTTAAAAATACATTAAAAAGAATATTCTTATAAACTTGGTGGGGGAGAATTTTCTCAGAATGAGACAAAGCTGAGAAACCCAAAAGGAAAAGCCTGCAGATGTAAGGACATGAAAGTGTAAAACCAGTGTGACAAAAAAATATTATTACAAAGTGAAAGACAAATGGGAGACTGGGGGAACTACTGGCACCTTATAACAACATCAAAATCCCTGTATTACAAAGAACCCTAAAAAATTTCATAGGATCCCTGGGATTTGCTTTAAAATGATCAGGGTGGGGATGGGCAGGCTAGGGTGGCCTGAACAAGACTGCCCCCCTGTGGATAATTACTGAAGCTAGCTATTGCCTCCAGGAGGTGTCAGTGTGCTAGTCTCTGTACTTACAAAGATGTTGCAAATCTGCATTATAAAGACATAGTTATTTAACAATAATGATAGTCTAACCATGGGCCAGGCACTAGGTGCTGGGTATAAATTTTTCAAAGTAGAAACACTGCACAGGGAAGACAGAAAATTAAAAGGCATATTCCAAAAGAGGAAATACATATTGTAAATTTACATTTGAAAAGATGCCCAACGACAATACTACCTTTTTTTAAAAGACAGGGAAATAAAAATAAAACATAATTTTTTGTCAGTCATATTCACAAGGATCTAAAAGAGCTCATAATATCCAGCATATGTGACAGTGTAGGTAAAAGATGCCGTCATACAGACTTCAGTAAGAAGTGATCATTAATACAATCTCCCTGGATTTGGCAAAATGTATTACAATTTAACCTAAGGAAATATTCTGGCATGTAAAAAACAAATATTATAGATGCTCATAGAAGACTGTTTACAAAAGTGAAAAATTAGAAACAACCTAACTACGCATTAACAGAGAGGTTGGTTAAAAGAATTATGAAGGATCCATATGGTGAAGTATTTCTTGGACACAAAAAATAAAGATAATATATATGTATTGGTAAGGAAAGTTGTCCACAATCTAGTATTTTGTTTAAAAAAAGGACTAATTTGCATCATGTATAGAATGATGCTATTTTTGTTTTTTAAAAGTAGAATTAGAGAAATATACACAATAAATCTGGAAGGATAAACCTTAGGTTGTTAGTAATTGTTCTCTCTCTTTGGTGCACAAAATTATGAGAGCCTCTTTCTAAACTTCCCTGTTGTTTAAATTTGTTCTAAAAAAAATATGACATTTTATAGCTGGGAGAGAAAGATGGTTCAACTCTGAAAAACAAAACAGAAAGTACATTAAATTTAGAAACAAAGTTGGGCCAAAGTTGTTACAGTCTGATTTTTAAATTTTACTTAAATCCCTAATGTTGAACAGGGAAGTTGAAAAAATAAAAATGTACTACACCCTGAATGAGGTCATATCTACACCAGTGTATAGTTATCAACCTCATCAAAGTATACACTTTAAATGTGTTTTTTTAATCTATAAATTATAACTCAACACGTTTATAAAGTGTGTATAAGTTCACTGGTGAGTCAAGGGTGAACCCAAGAAATATCAGCTGATGGATCCTAAGACTGGAATGCACCATTTGTGTTTTATTTTTGTTTTGCCTTTTGCAAACAGCTCTGGAAGCCTTAAACTGAGAGCAGGTTGAGTCTCATGAGAGAAATATATAAGTTCATATGTTCCAGGTTATTCAAGCAACTTCTTTCAAACCATATAGTGTTAGGCATCTGATAGAAGTCAAGCTTCTTCTGAATCTTGGATCTAATAAAGTTTTCCCAATTCCTTACCACTAGAATTCCTCCCTGGATGCTCTCAGTGTACAAGGGACAATGTAAAGCAGAGTTTTCCTGTCCTTGTTGTCTTTGGCAATCAGAAGTTCCGGAGGACAGAGAGGGAAGGTGACCCTGGGTTTGGAGGTGAAGCAGTGCCTAGGAAGGAACCACTCGATTTCCGCCTAGGCCTTCTGAGTGTAGGAATCTCCAGGCTGTTTGGTAACCTACTTGCTTTTTTTTTTTAACTTAATAGTATCCTGAGCATTCCAAAGTATGTTCCAAAGCCCTCTGATTGAACTCCTAGGTGGGTGATTCTGAACAATTCACTGCACTTCTTGGGACCTCTGTTTCCACTTGTAAAATGAATGGCTGAGACTGTCCCTGGATGACCTGCAATGCCCTCATTTGGCCACTTGGGCCCTGTCTGGCCCCTTATCACATCTGTCCCAAGCCTTCTAGAAATGTGGCTAGAGCTCAGGTTACAGATTCGGTTTTCAAGCTCCTTTATGCTTTAATAATGGAGCTGGAGGTAAGAAACCACAGAACTGAAGCATAAACCATCAGGTGTTTTTGTTCTGGCTAAGCCTGTTCCCTGGAGCCCATTCTGCTTTTCACAATACTTTCTGTTGCTGCCGTGTCTGATTGCTTCTGTGAGGACAGAGGGGCACTCAGGCCTGTGCACAACTGTGCACCCTGCAGGACACTAGAGCCTGACATCAGGTGCAGGCCCCTGTCCCGCAGCCAGCCCCCCTTAGCCAGGCCTTACCACACGCAGTGCAGGTAGGGGAAGTGGAAGGATGACAGCAGCTCACAGAAGGCGCGGTCACTGATCCAGCAGAAGAGGGCGAGCGTCCACCACAAGCCAGAGAAGAGGCCCAGCTTAAAGACACGCACGTTGTCACACCTGCACAGGGATCCAGAGAGCACCTCGCTGTCAGTCCTAGTTTCTGCCCACCCCACTGGCCACTTCTCTGGTTCCTCACATCTCCCCAGCCACTCGGCATTAGTTCTAACCTGACACGCCATCTCTCCACATGCTGGTGGATGTAAATGCCGTATGTACAGATGGCTCACAAAGCCATACTCCTCACCCAGACGTCTCTCTGACTCCAGACTCACATTATACATGTCCACTTGGAGTCTGATAGAGACCTAAATGTAGCATGTCCATAGTGAACTCCTAACCTCTCCCCCTGCCCAAAAGCTGTTCTTCTCCCTGCCCTCTCATGGGTCATCCCATGCTTTCAGAGGCTCAGGCCAAGACTCTTGGGGTCATTATTCTCTCTCTCACACACCCCACAGCCAATCCATCAGTTCTACTTTAAAAATATATTCAAAATCTGACCTCTTCTCACTACCTCCACCTGCGTCCAAGCCACCATCACCTCTTGCATAGTCAATGGTAACCTCCTCCCTCCACCCCTGCTCCTGCAGTCACCTCTCAGCACTGCTCAAAGCCTCCCATGTCTTCCCCTGTAACCAGAGGGAACACTATAGTCCCAGGGGCTGCAAGGCCCCACTTGTGCTGGCTTCTTTTCCTTTGCCCACCACCTTCTCTGCCCCACTCTGCCTCTACTCATCAAAGTCCCAAGGGACCCTTGCTGTTCCTCAATACCCCAGGGATGTTCCCCCAGGCATTAGCATATGTTGTTCCCGCTGCCTGGAATGCTCTTCCTCAGACATCCACAAAACTTACCAGCTCTAAGTCTTTGCTTAAATGTCACTGAGGCCCTTTTCCAACCACTGTTTTTAACCATCGCACCTAAGCTATTCATTGCGGTGTCCCCAGCCCCCAGAACAACACTGGGATCAAGAAGCCTCCCAATATTTGCTGAATGAAAGATTGAGCTCTTACATACATTGGGACATATTTTCGAAAATAAATCCTAACAGCCAAAAGAAATCTCAATTGCCATTTCCTTTCCTTGTTACCAAATTGTCATAAAGTGGGTGGCTTCCATTCCTGGGGAGGAATGCCCAGAGGCAGGTGGTAGCTAAAGGTCCTTGTAAACCCTCAGGGCCTTTTCCCTCAGGGGACTGCTCCTTGGTCCGTTAAGCTCCCCAAAGTCCAACGTAACATCTGCACCTGAGAAGGGGTCATATTTCCATGTTCCTATTTGTGCACAAATAAATGGTGTCAAAAGCCTGACTCACAAGTACCTCTCTCAGCAGCCCGACAGAAACATCAGCAAAACTGTCAGTGAAAACTGGACGGGCAGCAGGTTTAGAAAGGCCCACTTGAAAAACAAACCAAAATCCCCTTTTGTAAGAGGGCAACATGCATCCCTTGACATATTCTTCAAAGGAACAGAGGCCCACGACCAGAGAGACTAAATCCCTATGTAACAGGGCGCACCCTCAGAGCTCCTGTTCTCGCTCTCAAAGGCTCATTCTTGCGCCATCTCTTCCCTTCTCTCTCTCTCTCTTCTCTTTCTCTCTCTTTCTCTCCATCTGTCTCTCTATCTCCTCGCCCTACCAGTCTCAGCTTCAGGGGCACCTTCTCAGACTTTCTCTGACAGCCCCCACCACTATCTAATGTAGGTCTCCCCCATCACAGTCTCCCATGCACCTGCCATTTTCCTTCATAACAGTTTGTTCACAAACTAATTTATGTTTTTATTTGTGTAATTATTGTTTAATGTCTAACATCCAACTAGACTGTAGGACCAGTGAGAGAATGAAATATATCTCTTCTTTTTCACCAGTATATATCTACTGCCCAGCTACAGTGCTGGGCCCAGAACAGGTATTAAATAAATGCTTGCTGAATGAATAGATAAAATAAGGATGTAGAGGACAATTTTAACTGGATTCTAGTGATCTAAACAGTATTTTTTTTTTAAAGATAAAAAGAAAAACATTGATTGGGTAACAAATTGTCAGAATCTATGCTAGGCACTGTTATAGGCCAACAGGCATCTTGCCTTGCCATTTTAAAAACAAAGATTAACAAAAATATATATCACCAAACAGAGACAGTTTGGTACAAGAGGACCCATGTATAGTCAATTCAATTAAACCTAAAAACTTTGGCTTAAGGAGCACACCAGAACAGAGAGCAATATGCTAGGGGCCAAAGAAGTGGCATGTGTGGAGATCAGTCACCTAGGAGACAGGGCTCGGCTGGGCTGGTACCTACATAGCAGGGAGGGAAGGCACAGCGGAGCAGGGCCTCAGGGCAACCTGGTCCTGTCCCTTCCTGTGTTTCTAAAGGGTAAGTCTTGCTATATGCTGCTGAGCAGGCTTATTTATACTTGGGGCTTGTCCAAACCGGGTTCCTTTAGATTTTATTCCCACTTTTCAGGGTTTTATCAAAATGTCAACATGAGACTAAGTGAAAAAAAAAAAACAGGACCAAGTCAAATATACAGCAGGACCTTATTTAGGGTAGGAAACTCTAAGGGAATATTTATCATCCCTTCTCTTCTTGACCTTTGTATCTGCAAAGTTCTTCTTAATAAACTCACTGCTATAATCAGAAAAAGCCTATTTTAAAATATTTTGAATTCAGCTGAGTCATTTGATAATATGACACCACCACAAATTCCAGTAAATGTCAGGTCATGACCCCAAATCATAATAAAACTTTGTTTCCTCACAGTCTGAGGGAAGTTTCAGAAAGGACAATGAAACTACAAAAAGACTAGAAACCAGCTCAAAAGTTAGGCTAAAGAGAAACAGAAAACTAAAAGCAATTCCTCCCCCATTTCTTAGCGGAGGGAAGTGCAATAACAAACATAACAAACATTAGCTACAATGTTACAGATGACGGCTGATGGCAGCAGGGAAGGTCCTGCAAGGAAATGCAAAGAGCAAAAGGGCTTCTTCTGTCTGGGAATTCTATAAAGCACGCCACCAACCATCTCCTCTTTCCTTGCTGGCTGGGACTCGAGTAGGAGCTGGGAAAGAGCAGTGAACACAGACCCCTCCTCCCTGTCTGTGGGGGCTACGTCAAGCAGAGGGGACAGATACTGAAAGCAACAGCACAAATGCTTTTTAAAATTACAATCGGGGTAGGTGCCATAAGGAGTAAGTTTGAGGAGAGCATATAGACACAGTTGAGCCAAAATCTGAAGAGAAACAGAAGTGAGTCAAGCAGGAGGGTCAGGAGAAAGGACAGCATAAGCAAGAACCTGGGGTCATACAGAGTAAGGCCCCCTTGGGGACATGGAAGATCAAAATGGCTGGGGGACAGGACTTAAGGGAAGCTTCTTGTGGGAGAGGTCAGCAGGCAGGGGCCATGTTCAGGATTTTGAACTTCATCTTAGTAGCAGGCTTAACGAACAGAGAATGCCTGTGATCAGATGGGATGGTCTGGGAGGGAGCCAGTCTTTGGGCTTAAGCAAATGAGTAAAGGGTGCTCCCACTTATGGTGCTGGATATACTAAAAGAACCAGAACCAGAAAAGGCAGATCAGCAATCTCATGTTGGGCAAGTTGAATTCAAGACGCCTGTGACAGGTGGAGTTGGAGAGGTCAGGCAGGCAGCTGGGCATAATGATGGAAGGGGAAGGAAGGACTGTGCTGGGGACAGGAATCTGGGAGCCCTCACACAGGTACAGTATTTAAAGCCATGAGAGTAGATGAGAGGAGACACAGTGGGAGAAAAGCAGAGAGGTCAGAATGCACCTTAAGGGATCCCTCCCTGCAAAGGTGCACAGGAAAGAGGGGTGGAGAAGAAGTGCCGCTGAGTTAGTAGAAACCCAGGAGGGTGAGGTGTCATAGGAGCCACGAGAAAGAACGTTTCAGGGGTGAGGGGAGCAAATTCTCCAAACAGCGGAGAGAACAACACATAAGCCACAGGAGGTCTGAAAAATGATCACTGGATAAACAACCAAGAGGGGTTTGCAATCGAAGTCAGGGCAGAGGCCTGCCTGGAGGGGGCTGAAGAGTAAATGAGAGGTGAGGGATGGAGACAACTTTTAATGAAGCTTGGCTGTGACATACGAGAGAGAAAGCGGGGTGGCTGGAGACAGGTGAGGACTGCATCCAGGTTGAGTGTCAGAGAAGATGGGAGAGACTCAAACATTTTTACAGGCTCATGGGAAGGACCTCTTGGGAAGGAATGATGCAGCCGGCAATCTGCATCTGGAGTGGAGTCGGCATAGGAGGATGGAGGGGATGACGGAGAGGCAGGAAGACTGATCCTGGATGGCAGGGGGGGTGCCTCCTGTGAAGTGGCAATTTGTCAGTGTAACGAGGAAGGCCTGTCAGCTGTCATGACGGCCAGCTTTTCAGGGCAAAGATGTGAGGTATGGAACAGAAATTATTCCTTTAAAATTACTTACAAAGATTCAAGTATTAAAAGAAAATGATTCGACAAAGCAAAACTGAAGGAACAAAACAGCAGCAGACCCACAGATTCTAAGAAGGGACTAACGGTTACCAAAGGGGAGGGGTGGGGGTAGAGAGGGAGGGAGAAGGGGATTGAGGGGTATTATGGTTAGTACACATGGTGTGGGGGGACCACAGGGAAGACAGTGTAGCACAGAGAAGACAAGAAGTGACTCTGTGGCATCCTACTATGCTGATGGACAGTGATTGCAATGGGTGTCGGGGGGACTTGATAATATGGGTGAATGTAGTAACTACAATTTTTTCATGTGAAACCTTCATAAGAGTGTATATCAGTGATGCCTTAATAAATTAAAAAAAAAATTTTCCTGCATAAAGCCCACAATTGTGAATAAGAATTTATTTAACCTATAATCTGCCCTAACCACTTGTTTTTCCCATTTGCTCTTGCTTAGGTATTATAAATTTAACAATATTTTCCTGTAAGCTGTTCTTTTAACAAAATTATAGGTTAAAACATATTATTAGACTTGAGAGTTAAAATGAAACAAGACTGCAGTGAATTCTCCACAATATTCTATTCATCTCAGACTTAATATAAGCCAGCATCGTTATTCTGACTTACAAATCCCCCTCAGATATCTGTATTGGCAACTTGACTGTTTATTTCCCAAAGAGCTTCAAGCTGTTAGTGTTCTGAAACAGGTCTCTGACTTCCTCACTCACTGAACGGTCCTCAAAGACGCCAACAGATAAGACCTGACAGTGTCCTACTGCTGCCAGCCAGCAAGCCCAAATACCTCTTCAGTCACTTTGACCCTGTCTGGTATTGCTGGCAACCAAAGCAATCCTTAGAGGCTAAGCAAAGGGAAGAAACAGACATCTCCTCCCAAAACAAAGACAAAGGTAAAGAAAGCTAACTTCACACACTACACAGAGCAGCTCTCACACAAAGGGAGAGCGATAAAAGACTTCAATTCAGATGCTCCATGTCCCTTAACTGAAAAAGTCATAAATTAAAATGCATTCCTAAAAGTAGGTACAAAGAAAAAAGGGTTTTCAAAGAGTATTAAAATAAGGACCCTAGTTATATGTGTTTTAGTTGAGGCAAAAAGAGTCATAAACACGCAAGTGCTAAACCAAAATGTTTCTGGATATCAAGCTGAACTCTGAGTATACAACTTCCCAAAGGAAAATCCTTACGCAAATAGCAGAGGCTTTACCTGATAGATTGGAAATGAGAAACTAAGCCTCAGACAAGACAGCATAGTCAATAGTGTTATACCTGAAGTCGATGTTGCCTTGTATACAGAAATTCATTTCTTTACCTCATGCATTCGCTTCTCTGGGACTTGTCTTTGCTCTTTATTCTTGTCATGTGAACTGATCTATTCTCCCAGCCACAGAGTGAAGTCTAGGCCCTCCCTAGGGACTTGAGACATTCCTGCTAAGCTGGCTTTGGTTCACTGGGATGCACAGCACCCACTAAACAGCTGTGCCCTCTTTCTGAAAACAAGATCATTAACATTTTGAGCCAAACCATCAAACCTGCTTCCAATCCAACAACCAAGGACTAACTCTTTGCAAAGCACCAAACTCCTCTCCCACTCTCAAGGACAAGAAAAGCACCAGGAGCCAATGTGTTCCCATCACAGGAACAGCCTACAGGCAGGCAGGAAGAATGGCCCTCACCTCTTCATCTCTGCGATGAGCAGCGCAGTACAAGGAACCCCCAGGGTCATCAGAGAGATGTTGTTGATGGCGGGCTTGACAAACGCCAGGCCTGTTGTGACTGCAGACAAGACGCAGACCACCACCTTGAACCTGCCCCTGAGTTGGTGAAAGCAAACCAGACATGTTAGCAAAGAGCTCTAGAGTGTTTGTTGACTGTTGGCAAAGCACAGGTATCACTGGTGGAGTGCAGGCATAAAAGGAATTGTGCACCAAGTACCAAGAGTCTAAAGGCCATTCACACTCAGGGCCCTCAGCAAGTCCACTTCAGGGATTCATCCTTAGGAAATCATCAAAAACTTTCAAAATATTTAGCCTTAAGAACGGTAAAGTAGAATCAAAGTCCTTGAAGGTGGGATATGGATAATTGTTTTCTCAGTGTCACTTTTCTCTATTTTTTCAGATGTTCTACAGCATGGCTCAGCAAACTTTTTCTATACAAAGGGTGAGAAGTAAATATTTTAGGTTGTGGGGGTCACAGGACCTCTGCCACAATTACCCAAGTCTGCCATTGTAGACAATAAGCAAGTGAGTGGGTAGGGCTGTGCACGGGTAGAACTTGATTTGCAAAAACAGACAGTGGACCCACTGGCTCGCAGAATGTAGGATGCCAACCCATTTTACAAGGTGACGTGCATGACTTTTGTAAGAAAAAAGCCAATTTAAAAACCATAAAACTTCTTAGTTTAAAAGAAAAAATGTCTTCTGTGTCTAGCACATATAACTGAAAGTCTTAAGAAAAAATTCCAAGAGTGTTCATATTTACTGACAGTCCACAATTTATCTGCACCGGAATTTTGTGTTGACAAGTTTCTGACATGACAATCTTAGAAAAATAACTGATGCCATCCTCACCCGCTTCAGGGAAGTACTTCCAGAGCAAAGAGCCAGAAGCGGCGATGTGATTCAGGGCATCCTTCTTCTCTCTCTAGGACTCTGTTTCCTTACCCATAAAATGGAAAGACTGGACTAGGATCTCTAAGGCCTCATCCATGACTGAGATGTAGGAGCACATGATTTTCCCAAAGTTTCTGTTATTCATTATTAGCACAATTTACTTTGGCTGAAAGCCCTGGAACAGGTCACAGTTAGGAAACTAATTTGAATGCAATTCCATTATAAAGAAATCAAAGTGCATTGAAACCTTCAAAATACAAATTTATCTCTTAAAGGGGAAAACCATTTATCATCAAGGCACAGGAAGTCACTGATCAAGCTGCCAATGTTCTGACTAGAATGAGCAGAATTGTAGCCCCAGCCTTCAACCAGAGAAAAAATATATTATCTCTGCAAGAGGATCCAGCCAACAAATGCTCAGGAGAATCACGTTTTTCACCTAGCCTTGCCTGGCATCCTTTACCACTGGGTGAAAGGCTGCCTGCTCCAGCCTGATGATGACAGCCCACAGCAGCCCTACCCTGCCACGCACCCGGCCCCTGGGGACCCACAACAGTTCTCTCACTGGGTGGAGGTTCTGTGACACACACCAGGGCTTTCTGGCCTTTTTAGATTGCATAGACACATCATCAGAGACTTCTAGTCCTGTAACCAAAGGCTTAGGACTTGGGTATAGGTTGCAGAAGGTAACAAAGGGATTACAGGTTTTCCAGTGAGACAGATGTGTGTTTGCTTTCTGTTTCTATCGTTTAGTAACTGTGGGGTCTGGGGCAAGTCACTGAGCCCTACCTGGCATCCTTTACCACTGGGTGAAAGGCTGCCTGCTCCAGCCTGATGATGACAGCCCACAGCAGCCCTACCCTGCCACGCACCCGGCCCCTGGGGACCCACAACAGTTCTCTCACTGGGTGGAGGTTCTGTGACACACACCAGGGCTTTCTGGCCTTTTTAGATTGCATAGACACATCATCAGAGACTTCTAGTCCTGTAACCAAAGGCTTAGGACTTGGGTATAGGTTGCAGAAGGTAACAAAGGGATTACAGGTTTTCCAGTGAGACAGATGTGTGTTTGCTTTCTGTTTCTATCGTTTAGTAACTGTGGGGTCTGGGGCAAGTCACTGAGCCCTCCAAGGCTCAGGTTTCCCATATGAAAATTAAGAGACCCTGCCTCGTGGTGTCCTCACAAGCATTAAAGCACTTAGCTTAGTGCCCGGTACATGGTATGTGCTAATAAAATGCACTATTACTGTTCTCATTACCATCATTTGAGAATAAATGCAACTTTAAATAATATATTATTGTTAATAAATCATCTCTCAGGGAAGATCTGGCTGAATGGTGTTGCAGTCACTGATGGCTCTGTGTAGTTCTGCCAAGGACTTCAAAGGCAGCAAGCTTGACGAAACTTGCTTTCTCTAAGGAGAACATGGGCGGATACCTCCCCAGTCCAGAGGGTGTGGAGAAATGCACTTCAAGAAGGTGAGTTAGACACCGGGTTGACTTGTGAACACACGACTCTGCAGCCTGAAGTCAACAGTGGTCACCTGGCCAGCCCAGCCGTCCCTAAGATCACCAGAAGCCATGGGTACAGCCTGGAAATATTCAGGAGTGAGGGATCCTGATGGGCTGTTTTATAATCAGTGTGACAGGCAACTCCTACTGTAGTCTTTGGGCCTGTCTGTAACTTCCCAGCCCATTATGGACTCAAACTGGAACACATGGTCTGGGATCCTTAGCATCTTTCCTTAAGTCCCCAAAACAGAATCCAGCAACCCAATGCCATCCTCACAATTTTATAATAAAGCTGCTACTATTATTATCATTAGCCATCCTTTATAGCAGTGGTTTTCAACCCTATCAAACCCTTTTTATAGCAAATATTTGTTACACCCTTTTTAATTACTCTTCTGAAATGAAGTGGATTTTATGGACGATAAAATCTCCATCAAGACCACAAAAATATGTCCATAAACTCCCCAGATGTCTCTTATGCGATGGCAGCATTCCTGGTTAAGATCCACTGCTTTAACTACCCTTTAGGAATAGCCTATTCAAAACAACCAGCCCAGATATTCACAGGACTACAGCATTTGGTCATGCAGGGTTCACGTCTGTCATTTATAAGTAAGGAACTGCTAAGGCCCAGAGAGCCTAAGATGCTGGCCCAAAGCCATCTAGCCAGTGTGGTGGCAGGATGGACAGACCCCAGCTATGCAGGATTCAAAACATGAACTGGATTATAAAGTGAGAGATGTCCCCAGATATCACTGAGGCAAAAATCATACAAATCAGAGCAGGATAAATAGTTTAAAAAATGGATACAATTAGCCTATAATAGTTCTTTGTCCTTGATTTTTTTCTTGCTCAAAATAAAAATGTCTAGAAAATATTAACAACCACCAACAGCTAAGAGTATGTCATGACTATTCTTAGGACATTCTAGGCAAGATTAAAAAAACCCTTTTTTTATCCCACCAATTATTCCTATTTACATAATTAACTTTAAATTTTTCCCTGCTGTTCTAAACACCTTATCTTCAAAACACTTATCCATATTAGCCATTCATAATAACTGCTAGCACTTATTGAGTCCTTACTGTTCAAGACACTGTACTATATTATGATTTTCCCATATATTTCCAACTCTAAGAGGTAGCTACTCTTGTAGTTCCACTTTACACAAGAGCAAAATGAGATACCAGAGCTGTAAAAAAAAAAAAAGACTATATTCAAGGCCACGTCTACCTGATGCATAGTCACTTAGCCACCATACTATACTGTCTCTTCTCCAGAAATCTCATACCAGAATTGATTTTACTATGTTTTTAGAAATATTCCAGTAAAGTCTAGATCACATACAAAAAAGGAAATTAAAAACTATCTGGTAAATTCAGGCAGCTAAATCACACAATCCCTGACCTCCAGAAATGCTAGTTCTGATCTGAAATCTGGTCTGGCTTGTCACTTCCACAGCAGAGATGTCACCTGGCCCCACGTCATTGGGCAGCAAAGCCCACACAAACGGGCAGGGGCAGGGGCTTGTTACTCTCCCCGTCACTTGAAAATTGCAGATGGAAAACAGAGCTGAAATCCTTGTGTACAGTGAGCTACTTTTCCTATAACATGTACCCTTTCTTTCTTTGCTCATTAAAATCTTCAATGCCCAGTCTCTGCTTCAATTTATATGCATAACTCAGAAATGCTAGACAGAAGTCTCTTCTACATGCCCTTAGTAGTCATGAAAGCTCCCTGTGAGCACTCACCATCCTCTTAGTACCATTCTAAGTACTCTGCAGGACCATCTCACAAGAACCCGGAGGTGGACACTATTACTTACCAAGTTTTACAGATGAGGAAACAGAAAATTTAAGAGTTAAGACAAGTTACACACTTCGCTAGCAGGAAAGCCAGAATTCGAATGCAGGTTGTCTCCAAAGCCAGGGATAAATACATATACGAAGCTCAGCACCTCCAAAAGACTCTCTCCAAACTAAAGACAGGGGTCACACCTTCCCCAGAGTAATGCTGCTGGCTGCTAAGTCCCAGGGGGTCACAGACCTCTTTGCCTCACAGTATATTTTCATATTTGAAGTTGGTAAAGCCATTAATTCCTACAACCCCTGCCCAATTTTTTTCTCTCCTTCCCATAACAACATTCCCTCACTCCCAACTTAAAGAAATGAGAAAAGAAAAAAGTTCTCTATTATGAACATTGTCACTTGAAATTTCAACCCTCCAGGCCTCCAGAGTGCCACAAACAAGCAGGCCCTTTATTCCCATACCTTCAACTTCTCGCTCAGATCCCAGGACATGAAAGATCAGATCTAACAGCAAAGTGATTTCTCAGCTCAAAACCCAACACACACTCAGGTTCAGGGAAAGGATGGAGATGACAGGTGGGTACCTTCCCAGATGACAGGAAAACCAAAAGGTAAATGGTGTGTTTCTCAGGCAGAGTCAAAAAGCCCCTACCCTCAAAGCCACCTCATGACCCCACCACCCACTTCCACCTCTACCTTCAGCTCCTCCCCGCGTTAGGAGGCTTTCTAACCATCCCCCCTCACTCTCCTGAAGCTAAGCAAGGAAACACAGGGCGAGGAGCTGGAGACTGCCCAAACCAACCCGCTGAGTTTTACAGCATACTTCCTCCGCTGCGGAGAGGCCCTCAGCAAGGTGGAGGCTGCATTTCTTCGAAGAGCAGGACCTTTCGCCTGCAAACAGCTGGCTTTCTCTTTTATAAGAAATCCTCTTAAGGATACGTCTGTCTGCCTGATGATACTCAGAGAAAGTACAGCTTAGTTCAAATCCTGCTGCCCAGGATGAAGTTTGTACAACTAATCCACTTAAAATGCTTTTCCCCTACCTCATTTAAAAATAATTTTTGTATGAAAAATTAACATGTGCTCTTTGAAAAAAAACAACTTGTGAAAGAGTACACATCACAAGTAAAGGTGAAAGTTCTCTCTCCATCCCAATCCCAAGGAATAGTCAATGGCTGTCACAGCTGTCCCCCTACCTCCAAGCATTTCTGTGCACATACATAGACATATACTCAAAAAGAAGTTAGTTCATTCATCCTAATATAAGGAAATTACACACGGTCCTATGATGTGCTTTTTATAGCTGGCATGTTTCCTCCACCTCAGTCCACAGAGAACAGCCTTCATCTTTAAGAGCTGTATACCTCCTACTCTATTCAGAGTACCAGGAAAACCAATGCATTCTTTCATTTTCCTGGTATTGTTCTTCCTGGGTTGATTAATTGAATCCATATTTCTAGACTATTCATATATGTGTGTGTGTGTGTGTGTATATATATCTTGACAAAATATAGTGACCTACAGAGAAATATGTGTGTAATATGTTCTGGGAACATTTTTCATCTTTGAGGCTGACTCTCTTCTGTTCCTTCAGATATTAACAAACTTCATACAGTTCTTCAGACAGACTTTCCCTGACCAAATCCTAAATCAGCACCCAAGTCGCCACTATCCCCCTTATCACATCCTATCATTATATTGTTGTTTGTTTATCAATTTGTAATCTCCCCAATTTCAGTGTAAGCTCACTGAAGGCAGAGACTCCACTGTTTACTGCTATAACCCAAATGCCTAGAAAAATACATAGTAAGTGTTCAAAAAAATACTTATCAGATGACTGTGTAAGCATGACACAATAAATACTAAAATTCATCCCTTCCTGAAATTCTGGGTTTCCAGCTTAAAGATAATGTGTTTGTGTACGTGTGTGTGTGTGTGTGTGTGTGTGTGTGTGTGTGTGTGTGTCTATCTGTCTCATCAGGAACAAAAATAATGCAATTTGACAATCACAGAATCTACTGTTCCTAGAATCAATTCCTCAGTGGAATTCTACTATAAACTCTTAACATGGTGGAGTTGGATAGGACTCGAGGAAATGTTCTAGCAGGAAATCAAAGGGCTTTGAACTACCATTCAGTAGTTACTCCCCTACTGAAAATCTTTCCACTTTTGCTCATATCATGTAAGGAAGACATTTGATTTTCTGTCCCTTATGCCATATAACTTCTTCTCCAAGCATATTAAAAATGCCCTCTTTTATCTGTCAGTCTAACTGTCAGACCATCAACAATCAGTGGGTATTAAACACGTATTATGATAAGCTCATCACGAGGCTATGCTCCACTATGTGTTATTTTTCTTGATATATACATTGCTATATTAGGTACTGCACCTAGCAGTAAATGAAAAATGTTTAGCACAAGCTTACCTGTCGTTACGAAAGATCTTTGGTAAATATCTTCTGGGGAACCACATGGCCAGAGCGCACATCAGAACCCAAAGGATGGCAAGTTCATCAAGCATCTGTCCCAGGAAACTGAGGGTTGCATGGAAGTAGACAGATCCAATACCTAGAATCAAATACAACCAATAAAAAAGGTCCCCACAGAAGAACACTCACAAATTCAATGCACTGTCAAAAGGTCACCCTTCCCCAACCACTATTACAATCACAGATCATGCTTTCACTCTGAAAAAGAAACTTATGGAAGAAAGTTACACCACCCAGGCATGCAGACTTCAAGCCTAGAAATGATTTCAAGTGGAGCCCAAATACCAGCACATCAGAACTTTAATAATTCTAGTTATACACAGTTGGTTTTCATCCACTGAGGCTTCCTGGGAATAGGCAGTATATAAAAGTCAACATTCTCTCACAGTTAAGAATTCCCAATCTGCCTGTGGAAGGAAATAGAAATTCTACAAGTATTTCCCAGAACAATGACAAAGCAAACATCTAGAATTTTTTTTTTAACTTTAGTAAACTAAAGTCTCATCAAAGTTCAATTGTTTCACGTAACTGTTCAGAAACTCTCAGAAAACTGTACTGGCTCAACACCAGAAGCTGTTATACACATGAATTCCCAAATGCAATTCAGTGAAACTACAGCCAACCTGGTAATCAAGCCTGTATTCAAAAGCCCTACCTTTGGCGTCAAGCGAGCAAAATAAAAGCTTGCTAAGACGTCAAAGTGACTTTGGTTTACAAAACATAATGTTCAAATAGGACAGGAAGTGTGCCGGATTCCATTTCCCCCCTTTCCAGTGCATGCTCGAAAATGAGTCCAGTCCACTTACCTACAACAACTAAGAGAGTCCATATTAAGTAAATGCCACTGTTGAAGCATGATGCATACTGACGGAACAAGCACATGCAGATAGGAGGTAAAACGAAAAACAAGATATTGCTTATCTGGGGAGAAAAACATAAAGTGAAAAGATGAATATTAAGTAAAAGAGCAAAAAATAAAGTAACTTGTTCTGAATATGCCCTTTGCAAACTGGGGTGAATGCAGCCCACATCTTGTTTAAATTGTTACCCTTCAAGTGCAGATACACAACCAGGAAAATTTTAAACTTTAATAACTATTTAGGGGGCTCCTTTCCACCTCGGATCATAGGAGCAACTTGAAAAACAACTGTAATCTCAGAAAGTTGCCCAGGCTCCTCTCTTGATTTGAAGAATCAAGAACTCCTACTCTTTTTTTGCACATATTAACTAGAAATCATTCTGATTTACTTCCACATACCTTTTTAAAGATCAGGCCTGCACGAAATAATGGTAAAAATAAAGTTGAAGAAGATAAGGACTAGACATGTTCCATCCCCCAATTGTTTTCTGCCAGGAAGGCCAGCCTTTTCTCCTGGGCCCACAGGAAGGTAGGAGGCTTCCTAGTTCCTCTGCATTGCCCTTGTTCAGCTTTCTCACCTTAATCAAAACCTACATTTAGATAAAGATCAAATTTGTAAGTTCCTTGACAGCTTTAAAATGATATCATTTTATCTTTCAGACTTTTGTGCAGATTTAAGCCACTCGATCATCTCTCCATGGGGCATTTGGTTTTGTTTTTTAAATAATATATCTTATCCAATATTCAAAATATTGTCATTTCAACAGGTAAACACTATTTCAATATGATTAATTAGATATTTTACATTTTTTGATTATATAAGGCTTTGAAGAATAGTGTGAATTTCACACAGCAATGACGACTTGGACCAGCCATGTTTCATGGGCCAATAGCCACATGTAACTAAGAACAACCACACTGGAGAGTGCAACTCTAGAAACTCACTTTCAATTTTTTAAATTTGTCTTTTTATTTTTTTAATGGGGTCATAGAGAGCTCTTTTTTCCCCTAAATTTTTTTAATTGAGGTAAAATCCATATAACATAAAATTAATCATTTAAAAATTACAATTCAATCACCTCTGTCTAGTTCTAAACTGTTTTCATCACCCCAAGAAGAAATCCTATACCCAGTAAGCAGGCCCTGGTAACCACTAACCTTCTTTCTGTCTCTGTGAATTTACCTATTTAGATAGTTCATAAAAGTGGAACCACACAACATATGACCTTTTATGTCTGACTTCTTTCACTTGGCATAATGCTTTTGAGGTTCATACACATTGCGGCATGAATCAATAATTTCTTCCTTTTTGTGGCTGAATAATATTCCAGTGTATGGCTACTGCCTGCTGTTTATTCATTCATCCATTAACAGACTGTTGTGAATAGTACTGCTATGAACATTCATGTACAAGTTTTTCAGTGCTTGTTTTCTCCTGGGTATATCCCCAGGTTGGCATGCTGGGTCACATGGCAATTCTATCTTTACTGACTGAGGAATCACCAAACTGTTTTCCATAGCAGCTACAGCATCTTATTTTCCCACCAGCAATGTATAGGGGCTCTATTCTCTACATCCTTGCCAACACTTATTATTTTCTGGTTGTTTTTGTTTTTAATTAAGGCTATCCTAGAAGTTATAAAGTGGTAGGGACATTTAGCTTTTTAAGTGTGTGGAATGAGGGGGCCTCTCATAAAGGACCACGCATGCAGTGGAAGTGTGCAGAGAGGGAAGATAACAGCTACATCTAAATGAGCAGTACCAATGAGGATGGGGTGGGAGAGGTACACAAAAAAGGATTTAAAAACTTTTGGAGATAAAAGAATGGGGCAGATGAAGTCTGGAAAGCCACGGACATGGGGGCTTTCAAAAGAAAAGACTGGTCACCTGTGTTGGACAATACAGAGGAGGCCCCAAAGGAAGCATGAGAGTGGGTGTCCGAACTGAACTGCCTGAAGGAGCCAGGGTAGAAGGGATCTGCCAGACCTAGGAAATCACACTGCTGCCCAACTAAATAAAATGCATCTGCAAATCCCAGGGCCTGAGGCATTTTGTGGTACAGGTGCACACTGGCAGCACCAGCGGCCCACAGATGCCTCCATCTCCATCTGGGAACAAGAGAGGTTATGAGTGACACCATTTTTTAGAGGTGGGAGAGAGATAGGGTGAGAGAAATAAAACAAGTGAAAAGAGGTGGGCAGGGCCCTTAGTCAGAGGTGGGATGGCAGCAGGACTGCTGCCTTTGGTTAAACCCCAAGACTGAAACCCTTAGTGAGGCCGCATCACTGGAGAAAAGGAAACCCTGTTCTAGTTGGTCCACTGATGGAGATCTTTTTCTCTTTCCCCTGGGAGCCCTGCGAGCTCCTGGTGAGCCTCGGTGAGAGTATAAACTGCCTCAGATGCCCCATGCAGTCTGCAGTCTCCCATCTTAGCGGTATGGCCAACTCTCACTAACTAAGAAACAGGCAAGGAGGAATTAGGCCAGGGGTCCAGTACTGTATAAACAGTAGACATTGCTCATTGCTCATTGTAGCCACGGATTGTTCATGTAGCCTTCAGCTTTCCATGGAATCATTGAAAGAATGAGAGAGCTTTAAGAGATAAAGTGCATCCCCTGTTTTATAAGGGGTATAATTGAAGGCCCAGAAAGGTTCCTAGGAAAGCAAAGACCAGAGAAACAATCAGTCAAGGAGCTGAAGCCAGCATCCAGCCCCACACTAACTTTCACCTCCAATCCACCCAATCACATTCTGACTTCCTTGGCTTAACTCAACTGGTATCTTAAAAATTCTGAATTACATCACACACCGTGTACATATGACCCATAACACAATTTAAATGTGGCTCTCCTTTCATTAAACACAGAAGGAAGAAAAGGTAAGCACAGAAAGAGGTAAGGGGGAAGAAGGAGGAGAAAAATGGAATTTTTATACCATAAGTAACTTAAAATCTGACTTTTTCATATACATGAATGTATGCTCCTTATAAAAAAAAAAAGAAAAAGGAAAAAAAAAGATCACAAAGCTAATGTCTCCTTTCTGTTCTCCGCTCTAGAAGTAACTATTGTTCCCAGATTCAGTCTACAAGTATTTTTCTTTACATTTATTTGAATACATACATATCACATGTTATGACATTATCACTCTGTAACTTCCTTTTCTCATTCAACAATATGCCTTGAAAACCGTTTTTGTCTTAGTTAATATAGATTCACCTCCCCTCCGTAAGTATTGCAGATGGCAGCAGTTTACTTAGCTGTTCCCCAGTTGAAGAACCAGTTCATAGCCCCACCTACAATGCTAGGGAATAAACACATTTTGCTTTTTCCCCAGAATATCTTTATTGCCTCAAGTCCTCTCAAGTCCCTTGCTTCAGCCAAGTGCAGCCAGCTGTCTGCCAAGCTGTCCCCCAAAACGGCTCTACCAATTTATGTTACTGCTAAATGTACACATTAATTACTTTTAATTGTATTTATACACTATTCACAAAGGCATAAAGTCCTATATTATACTGGCAGTAAAATTATGATACTTTAAACATTTTTTAATACACATATTAGGGAGATCAATTTAGAAGCACCATTTTAGCATACACTCCCAAATAACATTGAAATCACCTGATTGTTTCTGCATAGCCCATCTACGAATGCCTGCTGGCCTTCACCATGCCTTTTAAAGGCATCATTTTATAAAAAGGAAAGGACTAAATTAAAACGAAACGCTCCCCAAGACAAAAAGAGGAAGGAACTCCTAAAGAAATACGGAAAAGCAGGAGTCATGGCTGAAAGAAATTCAATGGCTCCGTCTCTACTGAGAAATGAAACTTCCCTTAAAAATTGTTACAGGTCACTAAAGTTGAAGAATTGTTCAACCAAGGGGTGTTTTTTAAAGCCTACTGTTGGATCATCCTTCGGAGAATTGGTTTATTTAATGCCCACAGAACAGATTTTTTAAATTGAAAAGAAACCACAATTTTAAAATGTATTAATTATTTCCTCAGAAAGTTCATTCTATGAATTCCTGTCTAACACATTCACCAAAATAATCTCCTGAACAGACTGCAGTCTCATCCTAACACATGTGATGTTGCACTTTCCCAGGCCGAGGGTAAATGCTGACAGAGCAACAGGCTGTTTATTTGTCTGAACAACAGGTTCATAAACAGCTAAGGAGCATTACCCTGGCTGAGGACAGTGTCTGGGCATCTTAATCATATGCAGATTCCTACTGTCCATCCCATTGCTCCCTTCCTGCCTCAGGGATGATCAGCTGTTTGGGTTTGCCTGGGATTAAGGAGAGTTCTCAAGGGCATGAGACTTGCAGTTCAAAACTGGCAAAGTCCCCGACAAATCAGGACAAGTTGGTCACCCTACTTAGAAGCCTTCTTGCAAACCCCACCCCCGCCCCCCCGCAGTACACCAAGCCCATGCAGAGTGCTAGTATGCTTGCCAATGGGCACAAACCTCTATTATGGCCCTCACCCACCAGATGACTGTTTGCAGGGCTGGTCTCTCTGAGAGGCTCAGTAGTTGCCCAGTAAATGGAGAGATGGATTGATAGGTATTTCTGCCCTACAGTAGTGGCATGTGGGCTTTGGCATATAAAGAAAACTACTTTCCTTATCTTGATGATTGGTGGCAAAGATAACTGGAGGAAGTAACAGATAATGGGCTGATTTTATGCATATATTTTGCCCCAAGACCTCTTTTTTCATCACCAATTGATTTCCTTCACCCCTGAGGCACTGCCTAGCAACAGAGTCCCCAAAGGATAAGCCTAATGGTCAAAAAGCAGACCCCATGTTTCTCCAAAGTGATCTGGAGTCTTTCTCTTCAGTGTGGCTAGGGCCTGAAAACTTAAAAAAAAAAAAGGGGGTCTCAAGTCAACAAAATTTGTATGTATTAGAAAAAGAACAAAATGTGCAGAAGTAAACAGCTGTGAACAGACATGATGTGTTCTTGGAAGAGATATTTGGGCTTGGTTGAAGCAAAGGATGATGACAACATTTGAGGCAACAGAAATTTGTGGAGCCAAAAGCAAAATGCTTTGTATTCCCAAACATTGTCAGTGGGAGTATAAACCAGGATACTCTTTGGTGTGTCATTTAGAAATAATTAGCAGCCTTTTAAACTGAATATTCTCCTTGACACAGCAATTCCCTATCTAAGATTAGGATTTGCAAACGTACATCCATATGCATACATAGGATAGTCATTGCATTGCTATTCTAAAACCAAAATGAAAACAGAAGCTGCCTTAACTAAATGTCCATCAATAAGGGATTGACTGGGTAAATAAATTATGATCAATCCATTAAATGGAATACTGAGTAGGTGTTGCACAGAGGAATATAACTCTGTATGAGCCAATATAAGACCATCTCTAAGACATACTAGTGAAAAACCGAGATGCAGAAGAATTTATGTAGTATAATCTCTGTTGGGTTGGAAAAAAAGCTTGGATATTGTGTGTATATACTATTCATGCACTCACACTAATACATGTGCCTAGAAATGTCTCAAAAGATACAGAATTGTATTTCTTACTTTATAACTTGCATACTCTGATAAATATTTTATCATGATGGTGTTACTACTTCTATAATAACAACAACAACAAAAAGCTAGTTTAAACAAACTTGTTTTCATATCAAACATCATGAGTTTTATCCTATAGATCAAATAGTTCCAATGCAGGAGTTTTAAATTAAAGAATGTCTGAATAATAAATAACCTGGATTTACTTGGCATGCCAAATAAATAAATCTAAGGTACTACATGGCACTTAACTCTTCAAGAGAAGTATCTTGAAGAGTCAAATAGACCAAATTGTAATTGTAGTTCATTGATTTTCCTGACTTTGGCAGGTTTTGTAATCTATCTAGACCCCAGTTTTCTGCTTTATCAAATGGACATCGTCAACAGGACCCACTGCTTAGGGCCATTGTCAGGTGTCCAGAAGAGTTGCAAACACTTCATAGAGCCAGTACTAAGTGCAGCTGGAGCAGTGACGTGCTCCCCCAACACCCAAAAAGTAGGTTCTAGAGTCCTCTCTCTCAGGTGTCTCCTGATTTTACATCTTCAGTTCCTTAAACCTTTTTCTCAAAATTAATAATGAGTATTATTTTCCTACTGAATAGATAATCAGATTTGCTGCATTACTATGAGGATTAAATGAAATGTTTATGACCAGGTAATAGTCCACTGTTTTCCTCAATACAGGAGTAAGATAGGCACAGTTTGTGTTGTGATAAGTGTCAGAAGATAACTAGGGTATGGGGACAGTGGAGAGGAAATGGTTTTTGCTAAACTCTTTGGATTGGCACTCAACAAAGTTAGGTAACCAACTACTTTTCTGTGACCTTAATCTCTTTGCTAGGCTGAAACAAACGTAATGGTTTACAAGTATTCCAAAGAGTAAGATTTGTCAGGTGGACAAATCTGGCCACAGATACTACAGCTGAAGATCAACAGTTCAGTTCTAAAAATGACTTTGGCACACACTGCATAACCTATCCAAAGGGACAAGACTACAAGTAAAAACCAAATAAACTCTCCCCCCATGTAGCACTCTGGGGCTTTGTGAAGCAGGCTCAGGGCCTGACTCTCCTGGCTTCAGACTCCATAGATAAATGACCTTGCTGGGCATGTGAGAATCTGTCCTCAAGCTGTCATTTCTTCTGCAGCTCTGGTGAAATCCTTCGTAGTATTCTTTACTTAGAAACGGAACAACTGAGTTACCACCAGAGAAAGTACCCAGCCCTGCGCTAAGCCCATCCCAGGTGCCCCGGTCTACACCTGATAGTATGCCCTGAAAGAGGTAATACAATTGGTGAGGTGTAGCCACCTCCACTAACTGCAACTTTCACAGAATCTACAGACAGCAGAAGGCCAGGTTTTTCTTGAGAACTAACCTGGTCATAAAAAAGTAGTGGAAAGGTTTGTGTGGAGGGCAGCCATGGATGTCTCGGGAGAATTAAGATTTCTGGATTGTGAGCCCAGCCATGCCAGAAATATGAGCTTGACAGCTCCTTTCTCAAGAGCTCAGTTTCCACATCAATGAATAAAAGGCCGGGACTAGCTCCTCAGAGATCCCTCCAGGCAATAAGCACCTGATTCTTGCCAAGGACATTTACTCCAGCAAATCTAAGAAGAAAATCCTAAACAACAATGTCAATGAGTTTTAAACTACTTTTCCGTGTTTGGACAGTAAAAAAAGATAAGCCACTTATAGGACCATACAGAGTTTTATATTTGGTACCAGGATCCTGAGCCGTGAAAAGAAGAGGCATTTCCTTCCAGGCTGCAAGCTTTCCATCCCACAACGACTGAAAGCACAGGGTTCTGCAGTGGGGAAGTTTCTGCTTGCCCATATCTAGGGACCTAGGCAAGTCCAGAAAACATGCACTGCAATCACTCCCAAATTTCACTTTCACTCTCCAGCTTTAATAACTGCAGAGTGCACAGGCCTGGGGAGTTATCTTTGGGGCTGGCGTGACACTTGGGTACTAAAGGCCAGAAAATGAAAACTAGTAGTAATTAACTTGGTTCTGGCCAAAAGTAACTCGACTTTGGGGTATCTGTGGGATGAGGCAAGTCAGCGTGGTTTGAGTGGCCCCAGACGCTGAGGCCTGCGCGGGGGGGTATCCCCCTTCCCCCCGGTCTCCCAAGAGCAGGTATTCAAGGCAAAAATGCACAATGCACCACAAAGATCCCAGGGGAGTAGGAGAGTGGTCCCAGAGGGTTCACCGCCCGCAACTGATTCAAACGGGGAAAATGGGCTGACACAGACCACTGGCTCCAAGGCGGGTGGCGACCAGACAAGACAATAGAACCTTCACAAGGAAACGACCAGAGGAGGGTGAGCCCAGGCGTTGCAGCTAGGGACACGAGAGGACCACAGCTGGAGAACTAGAAGGAGCACGCAGAGGAGGGCGCGTGGGTCGGCTCTGGCCCTGGACAGAGCGTGCTCCAGATGTGCGCGGAGACCCGGGTCTAGATTTCAGGCGCAGCAGCACTTGGGACAGTCCCTCCCGCCAGCCCCCTGCCATCCCCACTCCCGCGCCCCGCACCGTGTTGTAGAACTCGGCGATGGCAGGCACGATGGTGTAGTTGTCCTCGCACCAGTCCACCTCCGAGCTGCCAGCCTGCAGTTGGTCCCACCAGTACGGGGTACCCATGGCTGCTCTGGGGCATTGGAGCAGCTGCTCCTGCAGCTGATAGAGCCCGGAGCTGCTGTTGGAAGCCAAGAGCAGTGCCTTTATTCACGACGAGGAACCCTCCGGATGTGGCGCCTCCCAGCAGGCCTCCAGAGCTCCGCTCCGCCTGTGGAGCGTGACCAGCTCGCAGACTCCTCCCCCTACGACTCCGCCCCCCTGGGGCAGCCGGCTACGCCCACTTCGGGGCGGGTTGCGGGTGGGAGGCGGGGCATTTGGAAGTTGGGTCTAGGCTCCGGAAACCTCCAGGTTCGCGTGTTCCCAGCAGGTAGCGAAGGCCTTGCGTGTCCTGCCCGCGCCCATCTCACTCAGACTCGCAGGCGCCACCACCCTTCCCTCTGTGCAAAAGTGCCAGAGGTCCCTCCGGCAAAAATTTAAAAGCCGGAGAAACCCAGGAGGACCCAGGGCCTTACTCTTTGGGCCCCCATGAGTGGAAAGTCTGCACCCCCTCCCTAGAAAAGCCCTAGGACCCTCTGAAGCCAGTAAGAGTTTGCTTAGCAAGACTTAATGTGGTGCGCTGGGGCAAGAAGACCTTCCGGGTGGAGTGGCCGGCGCCATGACCCTGCCTTGCCGCGTCCAGCGCCCACTCCTCTGTAGAACACTTAAGCAATTTTGAATACGTTCCTGTCCTCAAGTTCTGCAGACTCCAGTGTTAGGCATTAATCTAGTTTTCAGTTAGACATAGGGTCAAACTTAAGGCATGCCAATCTGCAGAGAATGCAGTGTGACAGGTATGACAGAGGGTGTAAGAGATAATGACAAGCATATAGCACTTACCATGTGTCTGGGGCTGTTTGAAGACCTTGCGTGTATCACTCATTTAGTGCCCCTGGCAGGAATCCTGTGAAGTGGGTTCTATTGTGCAATGCCATTCCAGCTAGTGAGGCACAGCTAGAACTCAAATTCAGGTAGGATGATCTCAGACCCGCTGGTAACTGCTCTGCTGATGTAACTCTTCTGTAATTTCTAAATCAAACCCAATCTGGTCCCAGTGATTCCTGGAGAAAGCCAAGCTCCTTGATTTGGTTTGGTTTTGATTGTGGTTCTGGTCTGCTTTCCTTGAGTGGTTCTAGGACTTCAGGTCAGGACAGTGGCACTGGCATGAGAGGCCCCTGGTTAGCTATCCGTGGTGGCTGTCACTAGCATCGTCTTACTCAAACCTGCAAGGTTCCCTGAAGTCCAGCAGCTCCTTAGAGACTGTCCTCTAAGCTGTCCAGTGGGACCCTGGCTGGTGCTCCAGTGTCCTGTGCACTCAGTGTCCATCTTCCCCAGATAAGCACACTGCCATTTGTGTGTCTCTTCAGATCTCCATCACTGGCATAAACTACAAGCCCTGGTCCCGCTCTTAGTCTCAAGGAAATTCAGCTTTCCTGCCCTGGGGTCCAAACCATACTCTTCCTTGTATTTTTGTCCTAGCTTCTGTCCTCTTCCTAGACAGCCATTCCATTGTGTCCTGGAACCCAGGTTCACTGGTACCTTCTCCTGAGGTCAGAATTCCCCAGACCTGCAGGATACCCAATGTGATCTGGCCATTTAAGTAGGAAGGAGAAAATATTTCCCACAGCCACACACACACACACAAAAATACATCAGGTAATTTCTGTATCTCACAGAACTATACCAACTATCTGACATGTTTCTATGTTGTCAAGATCTTACTCCTTCCAATATTTTAGGTGGAAATGTATCCATATTCACTAACTCTAGTGGTGTAAAACATATCATTATTTTATATGCCAGTGGTTCTCAAAGGGTGGTCCCCTTGCAGGGAATCCACAAGGTCAAAACTTTCTTCCTATCAACACTGACCTTCTCTGCCCTTTCTGCTCTCATTATTTCACCAGTGTACATTGGTGTTTTTCAGAGGCTCTGTGATAGGTGGTATCATCCTCTATCTGACAGCTAATGGAATGCATGCTTGTGTATTCTTTAGTATTAAAAGCCTCTGTTTAAATTTCTAACATGATAAATATCGATATTTTACCACATAAAAGTTCTTTAGGGCCCTCAATTTTTTTTTGAGAGGGCATCACTCATATTTATTGATCAAATGGTTGTTAAGAACAATAAAATTCTGTATATGGGACTCAATGCACAATCATTTATCAACCCCAAGCCTAATTCTCAACATTCTCCAATCTTCTGAAGCATAACGAACAAGTTCTTACATAGTGAATAAGTTCTTACATGGTGAATAGTGCAAGGGCAGTCATATCACAGAAACTTTTGGTTTTGATCATGCATCATGAACTATAAACAATAAAGTCAGATGTGATTATTCGTTTGATTTTTATACTTGATTTATATGTGAATCCCACATTTCTCCCTTATTATTATTTTATTATTTTTTTAATAAAATGCTGAAGTGGTAGGTAGATGCAAGGTAAAGGAAGAAAACATAATTTAGTGCTGTAAGAGGGCAAATGTAGATGATCAGGTCTGTGCCTATAGATTAAGCATTAATCCAAGCTAGATAAGGGCAACAAAACATCCACGGATGCAGAAGATTTCTCTCAAAACAGGGGGCGGGGGTGAGGTTCTAAGCCTCACCTCTGTTGATCCCCAATTTCTCACCTGATGGCCCCCCTGCGACTGTGCCTGTCTTAGGTTGTTCCTCCCTTGAGGAATCTTACCCGTCTCTGGCTAACCAGTCATCTTCCGGGGCCATACAAGGAAATGTAAAGTTGGTAAGTGAGAGAAGCAATATTCTTTGAGAAGGTTAGCTTTTTACTTCTTTGCAGATTTATGCCCTGTGGCTTCTATGTAGGGCCCTCAATTTTAAGAGTATAAAGGAGTCCTCAAATCAAAAAGGTTGAGAGCTGCTGTTAAAAAGAAAGATAGTCCCAATTAAGCTATTTGTAATGCTTTTTTTTAATCACTTAGCATTTTTAAGTATTTATTGAATGAGACCTTTTAGATTTAGACGTATGTTAGTAATATAGATCACTCTTTTGTGTACATACGCAAACAGAAGCAAAATAAATTTACTAAGGGAATCCAATAATTTCTGTACATGCAAAGTATCTATTCTTCTTTTGAATGATTTTCCAACTCAGTCATTGGTGTCCTCTTCTCATCCAGGTGCTGGTGACACAGTATTTCTGTTCCACTACTGAGTGCTTCCAAGCCTGGTGTACACATTTTGATGCTGGCACATTCTTGACCTTACTTGAAGGTGTCAACAGAAAGTTTTCTGACAACAGGCAGCATGTTTCTCTTTCAGATGGTCCTTATATAATTTTTGACAGAAACATGGAGATTACAGTTGCCAAGTTATCCCACCAGAAATAAGCACCAAGTTTGTGCATGTTCAGGCAGTGACAACATATTCAACCACCAGCAGGCTGTGATTATAAAAAGTCATCCATTGTAAGACATATCTGGGTTCAGAGATGTGACAGTGCAAAACAATGTGAACTTAGCACCAATGAAATATAGAATTAATGACATAGTTCATCCTTCTCTCCAAGTCCTGCTAAGGGAGTTTTCCTCCTACACAGGAACTCTTATTATAAGTCAATGACAGTTCTGTTTCAAAATCAAAGCTGACCAGTTGGGTTCTGTCTAATTACAACTGCACAGAGAGACAGTGCTTAACCCCAAGGCCATCAGCAAGCAGTATAAAGGACACAAGTTACTTTCCTCCAAAGATGCCATTGTTAGTCTTCTTGTAACTATTAAAAGTTTTCCTGATGTTTTCATAGACTCCCCACATTATCATTTTTTTCAATGACTATAACTTTAGTAATATAACATTAGGACCTACCATTAGGTAGGTATCAGAATTTTGAAATTGATCTGTGTTAATAACATGGTGCCTTAGCAACTACCTTGAATGATTTAATACAAAATGCTGCTATCACCAGAGCAGTCGTTGTCCCGTTTACCCAAGCAGCAGCTAGGGTCTCCATCTGTAGAGGGGGGAATGAGACAGGGACCACGGGCTTAGACAGAATAGGGTGAGGGCCTCTGAGAAAAACGAAGCAAGATAATCCATTGTGGCATTTGTTTTGGCCTGCTGGGGGGCCCAGTTTATTTTTCTGACTTTACCCACATGTTGCTTTTCTTCCTCCAGCTTTAATCAAGTGATTTGCAACTTGGGCAATTTAACAAGCAAGCCCAAAACAATGTAGTAAAAAAAGGAAGGATTCCATCTTGAAAATAAGATTGCATTTTAAAACCCAATTAGTTAAAAAGTAAATTTCTTAACATACTCTTTAACAAACAGACAATAACTCAGCCCACCTTGGGAGCAAAGTAGGCAGTCTTGAGTGATATGTTCCCAGTCCAGGAAGCTGCTATGCTGGGAGGAAATGAGAGCAGTAAATTTCTTGTAAACAACCTGGAAGACTAATTAGAAACTTAATGTCTCTTCAAAGATAAAAATTTTGGGACCACTTATCAGGTGTACTTCCCTAGCCCTTTGTCTCTCAAATGCCTATAAAACCCCTAGACATTGTACCACCCTGGGAGTCTCTTGCCCCTTCGTGAGCCAGGAGCTCTGTCCTCTCACTTCTTCTCTAAATAAAAGCCTCTCACTTGCTTTCCTAAAAAAAATAAAAATCCTGCTATCAGATATAAACATACAGCTTGGGTCAGGGGGTATGAAGGCAGAGAACACGGAACCCCTGAGTTCTGATGATGTGTTTGCTTGTAGTGCTTTTGGCCTAAATAGGAACCAGTGATCCATCATCTCACATCCATGAGAGAGCAGGTCTAGAGGAGCCACTCTTGCAGGGAAGTCAGAATGCCAGAGTCTTCTATTTTACAGAGTTTAGAACTATGTTTATTTGTTCTAAGTAAACATCTGATAATAAATATCCAGTTCTACTGGTTCCACAAGTGGAAATCATCAAGTCACAAAGTCACTTCATCAAGTAAAGCAAGAAGTACATGATCAAGAATGAAATCCTCTGTATTTTCCTGTCGGCCAGGGTCTTCACTGTGGTCTTGCTTAAGGTTCATTGCTCAAGCCAGTGATTCTGAAAGTGTGGGCCCCAGACCA